CACAGAAGGATGGGTTTTTCATCCTGATTTAACGATTTTGTGTGCCTTCAGTGATCTCGAAAAACACAGTCGTCGATGTCCGATTTTCCAGACCCTCAGGGGACTGCAAAAACGTCCAGAAAACCGGGCAGTCCGGAAAAACTAATGCAAGCAAAAACACCCTTTTTAATAGGTATTTGTAGCTGACAGAGAGGGTTGCGGCAGGAGTTCAGGGTTCTCATTTCAACTAGGAAAATGCATCATTTAGGTGGCTCTGAAAAGAGCTGAAAAAAAGAAAGAAAAGGGAAAAAAATCCAATGTGGCCGGCGGTACCGCATTTGTAAACCTTGGGGGCAGAAAGAAGTACAGTCAAATCTCCATAATTGGAACTTGAAGAGGCCCGATAATTTGTTAGAAATAAAAGAAGTTTGAATTAATGAAAGCTAAATCATCAGAGGCCTCACCATGCAGTGGTGCATGTGCATTGAGCTAACACACGAGGGGTAAGTTTCAGAAGACTTACATTTATTCACAAATTACAGGACATCCGTCATTAATTGAAGTAATTGGTGGTGCGCATCTGCACATGTTTGCCTTGCCGTGAGTCAATCAGTTTCGCACGCAATTCGCAAAGCATTTCAACTTCAGTTTCAGCATTCTCCTAGCAAGAGAAGTAACGCGCGGCTAAGTCCAGCGCCCACAATGCTTCAGTACCACTAGGCGGAGGGAGGGGCACCTCAGGTGCCTTGTTGCTGTCATCAGAATCCTCGCCACTGACGGCGGAAAGGTACTCAGATGTCACCACTTGGGGACACGCAGATTCAATTATTTCAGTATTAGTGATGACACCAGAAGTCTGAACACCGCTTTATACCTGCACTTAACTTTGAAATGTTATGCCATCCAGTAGAACACAGCTGAAGTTGTCAGGAACGCAGACGAAATCGTTGGGAGAATTCTGCAGCACCACTTAATCACCATTAGCCACGGGTTCAACAAACCACACTTCCTAAAATAATTGGCATTGGTATCCAGCTTAATCGAGTTCCACGCATTAGTAAGGATGTGTGCTGCACCAGGGAGATCGATTGAATAGGTTTTCTTGCTGTTGAGACATAACAGCACCCTTTCAAGGATGTGTCGGCAGTACACAGTTTTTAAATTCTGGATCATGCTCATGTCCATGAGCTGGAGCAGTGCCGTCGTACACTTGAGCAGGAAGGTCAAACGAATTGCACATAGGCCTTGAACATTGCAGTGCACGATGCATTTGTCCACGAAAAGGAAGATCTTCGGCCTTTTACGGCCAGTTTTCTGTCCAGTAAACAGATCCATTCAGAAAAAATGTTCATACTCATCTATGCCTTCTTATTTGCAATGTAATCAACGGGAAGGGTTTTCACACCTTTGAAGCAGCAAGGCTTAGTCGCTTTCCCAATTATGAGCTACCGGCAACACTCCGTGCCCATCGCGTTCACGCACACTATCACCGTCAGCCTCTCCTTATTTTTCTTTCTGCCGGCACAATCGTCGTCCTGAAAAGCTATGGTTTTTGTAGCAATTTATAATAGAGCGCCGTTTCATCTGCGAAGACGTCGTCGAGCAAGTAGGCGCCAAGTAGTTCCTTCAGATGCCCAGAGAGCCATTCTTCTCATTTGGCTCTGTCAACATCCGCCTTCTCACTGCAAACAGTCTTCAATGTGAGCCTGTGGCGTTCCTTAAAGTGGGACAACCACCCATCGGTTGCCGAGAATTCTCCAAGAGCCATCTTAGTAGCGAACTCGCTCGCCTTGGTGGCTATATTATCAGCCCACTGAGTGAGAGGTTCTGGCTGGGAACCTGCTTAATCCACATCACAAGAGCGTCCTCCAGCTGGGGATGTGCTGATGTCTGCAGCCTCTTCCTAGACGGTTTAATTTGCTGCTTTTGATATCCAGTGATGATAGACTTTGTTCTTGATGTATGTTCACAGCATGCTCTTGGTGATGTTATACTTCTTGGCGATTTCCGTCTCGGAAAGAACTCTGTTGTCAAGTTCGCACAGAATTTCCTGCTCCATTTTAAGGTCCTTTGGTAGGCGACAAGTTCCCCGGCTCGCCATGACGCTTGCACAACGAACGCACACCGCCTAGTCAACTAGTCACACCTCGCATCAAAGACGACAACGACGACTGCGTCTCCGCTGCTACCCTCTGCGCCACAGCCGCAGCATGGCCAGCGCGTGATAAGAAAGGATGAGTGTCTCTACGCGAAGAGAAGCAGACCGGCATTTGAGAGAGAGCCAACACTTCGCGACAGCTTTTTTTTCCCTCTCTCTTTCTTCGCGTGCACCATTGAAAGAAGGGTCTCTACGTGGCAGGGACGAGAAAGGGAAAACGTGGCACCGGCACATCGCAAATCGGAAAGAGCCAACACTCTGCGACGGTTTTCCTTTTTTTCTCTCTCTCTCTCTCTATCTCTCTCTCTCTCTCTCTTCGCGCGTGGCGTTGAAAGAAGGGTCTCTACATGGCAGGGATGGAAAATAAAGAAGCGAGGCACAGGCGCGTTGCAGATCGGCATTTGAGAGAGAGCAAACATTCTGCCACAGCCTTTTCGTTCCTTTATTTTTTTTCTTCCCGCTCAGCATTGAGGTTTCGGAGGCGCTGCCGCAGGGCTGGCATGGTGCCGAGAGCATTTTCGAAGAGCGGTATGTTCGAATTAACCGTCGCAAGTGCTTGCACGTTCAAATTACAGGGCATTTTCACTCATTGAAATACTCGTAGCTCTGACGGGACCATAGCATCAGTTCTAATTAACCAGAAGTTTAAATTAAGCGTGTTCAAATTAATGAAATTCGACTGTAGTTTATTTTCATTTGCATGGCATTCCACTTGGCTGTGATATTGTCTGCCTCAATTTCAGTTCACGTCATACTGTCGCTGTACGCCGATAACTGTCAGTGCTCACGTCATCTCCGAACTCATTGGCTGTGTAGGCGCTGCCTCTTCGATCTCGATGTCGGAGTCATGGGAATCCTCTGTAACTTGACGAATTATTTCGTCATCGATCAACTTGGCTCCCAGTTCTAGGTCCTTGTCAGTGTCGGCGAAGCCCTCAAGGATTATCCGGGCTAAAATCGAAACACCGGCAACATTCGCGGGTGGAAGTTTGTCGTACATGCTATCCACTCTGGGAGAGACCGCCGTCTCGGGATCCAGTATGAAGCTTGCGTGGTGAAAACGGTACCAGTGGGTCTGTTGCGTAACCGCCTTCCACGAGTCTGCAGGGGTGCCATTGCCTGACCAGAGTTCAAAAATGTAGCTTTTCCCGCTGCCGGAGCACAAGCAGCACAGCGCCATGAAGCTTCAGCTGGCAACAGATTGGCATGTGCTAGATTGCAGCGTTTTTGGTTTTGAGGGTATGGCAGCCACGGTGCAGTGGGTTCGGGGGTCCGAAAACCACCAAAATGGTGGTGGCGGTAGTGACGTCGAGTCTGTAGTTAGCAATGAAAACTCCGAAAAATCGGATGGGGAAAGTCATAAACATCCGGAATTTCGAGATTTTTAATACATTGACTCTATAAAGAACTTGAAGGTGCCACAGATGAATCTGGGAAATCGGGCATGTCCAGAATTTAGGATTTCAAGGAATCGGACGTTGACTGTAACTACTGCATTTTTGGCTGCCCAAACACATACAAAAACTTGTCAGGAATACACTCCGACAATTTTCCGGTGCTGTTTCATGAGCAACAGCGACAGCAGTGGTGGATTGTGGCTGTTCGACGCAAAAAGGAAACAATCGCATTTTGTTTATGGCACTGTTCGAATAATTACTGTGTTTTTATTTCTCAATTTCGTGTCTTCTAAAATTGGATAAGGAAAGGATAGGCACTCTTCCGCTGAATGTTAACACTCGGGCTTCGCTGGCATTTCTGCGAAATGGCAACTCATTGCGTGCCTCAGCTGATAGCTATAACGAAAAGAGAAAGACTGCACACAAAAACAAAAAATAGATAAGAGGCAAATCAATATGTTTAGCCTACACGACAAGCATTGCCTGTGCATCATGGCAGGCTACGTCATAGCCGATATGTTAGCAGTTATATAGCCTGGCGGGTCATTCGGTGTGGTTGTGTGCGTTGTTGTGAATTCACAGCACCGATAGCAGCTACTGACACGTCATAAGCTGCTATTTCGCAGCAACAATATCGAAGCGGGAGTGTCGGCAGCTAGCGAAAGTGCGGTGCTCTTTCCGCTTTGTTTCCCACAGTTGCTGCTGTGAATTGGCCAATGTAAGGTTCAAGGTTTTTCGCCATGCGCTCGCATGTTCAAGCTCATATTTCTGACGATAGTACCTGTGAAATCAATGAGCCAGTGCGGCAGAACTCCATCAAAATCTACTATATACGCACATGGCATGTAAACGAAGCTATTGTGTCAAGAAAAAACAATGGTTTGTGCCTCAACGCATGCAGGCACAAGTGATCGGGACGTTATGAAGAAAGGGAAGTACTTGCGATTGTAGCTCCATTTCATAGGGAAGTTTGTTCACGCTTGTCTGTAGCAAACACTTGACACATATAGTGACAATGTTGTCCCATAAAGCAATGACATCGGACACATGTCCACTATTATAAAGTGCAACTCCTCTGTGCGTACCATCAGAGGAAAGGTATTGGGACTTGCACAAGTGGCAAATCACACGCACTCACTTCCGCCATGCTTGCAGTAAGAGGAGGCATCTGCTGCGTGACCCATCTAGTGGTTCCAATGGCGGCCGCTACGTGGCTTTCGGTGGTACGCGTTGAGACGCTGCACATCGCGTATAAGCAGGGTACTATGTAGGCATTTTTTCATCAAGCCATATTTTAATTTCGGCACACTGATGTCTCATTTACCGAATTGTTTGTTACATAAGTGTTTGTTGTAAAGGAGTTCAGCTATATAACTTACTAGCCTGTATATCTGCTTTGATTTGCTGACCATGTTTTGTTGCAAACTACTTACGACTATTTCGCTGTTCATCTTCTGTTACCGCAGCTTTTGGGGACAAACCTGGGTGCTCAGTGGCGCCAAAGCCACGTGGAAGCAGCACCTTTTTACACCAACAAAGACATCGACCGGCTCATCCAGGAGACGGAGGTGTGTGGCTGCGTGTTTTACTCTGTTCTTTTCTAAAGTATGAAGTCTGGTCAAGTTATAGAGGAAAGAGTGGCTAGGGGAAGTCCTAGCCAGTGCTGCTATGTAGGAAGTGACATCTTTCACAAAGGATTACTGGGACTACTCCGTTGTATAGCGATCGGGCCTGAGAAGCTCTCATTGCTTGAGGCATCTGGAAAATAGCATGATTGTTAAAGGGAGATGTGAGTCGAAAAACAGAACTTTTTTCCAAAATACATATTTTCCGTTTTTCTTCTTTGACAAGTATATTTTTCTTTCATGACAAAAAAAAACTGAAGATTGCAATTAAACTCGAAGTAGGTTAAAATCACTTTCTGATAGCAGAAGTTGGCTACTAAAATCTAATGGGATCCCATTTTTCTAGAGTCTCCTGGAAATTGTCACTTTGCTGCTTGCCTTCGAATCAGCAGTTCACTAACTTCACATGCTCAATATAACTATGATTGCCAAGCTCTCATAATGGAAGAAATCGTTAAAAAAAAAAAAAAAAAGTACCTATTCCGCCTAGATGACCTTTCACTTGTGCCCTTAAAGTACGTTTTTCTCGAAATCCATTTTTGGGCAACTACTTGAGTTTAGACATCACATTTTTGCTGTTTCAGATTGCTCGATCGAGATAAAATTCTGCTGATCTATTCAGTAACATGTGAAAAGTGCAAGTAATTTTTTTAAAACTGGATATCACTTGTGTAATTATTATGAGCCTAAAGTGAACAATTATTATGGGCTGAGCATTCTCACATTACAATTTTTATCCAATGAAATTATTTATATGCATTTTTTTTGATAGTTATTTGCAGTTAATTTAGAGCAATATGAGCCACAAATGGCTGAGAACCGTAGATGCTTAGTGGCATAAAAAGTTTGTCCAAAACACACATAGATACACTACTCAATTTCATGAATAAAACTAAAAATGTGCAACTTAACATAAAACTAGTTGCATAATTGAAATGTACATAAAAACCTGTATATACAATAAAAACTTCATTGTCCTGGGCAGCAGATGAATGAAATTTTTTTTTTCGAATCTCATCTCCCCTTAACTGACCTTTTCTCATAGCATTTTGTTTGCAATGCAAAATGTACCTACAGGGCAGTGTGCGAGCTTTAGAAGTTTCTTTTGAGTCTGGTAGCTATCATTGTTAGCAAGCTAGTGAGCACCACATGGGCTCTCTCATGCGAAGGTGCATGTGCTTTATTAAAACTGTTACAGAAGTTTTGTTGAAATACATTGACATGCATAAGCAGCGGTTACGGTCGGTGGATTTTTGTTGTGAAAGATCTAAAGCTTTCGCCTTTTATGTGTGAACAGCTGCAGTTCTGTTAGAGTTGGACACCTAGCAACATTGTGCCACGTGTATCTGCTGTCACATGTGCACAAACAGCTGCGCTTGGGTGCAGTTTAGTCGCGATAAATAAGTCAGTTGATTATCAGCAATTTATGTCTGAAGACATAACAGCACCCATTTGCTGCTGGGAGATATTTGTAGAAGCCCCCGCAGGGGCGCCTGCGCAAGTAGGCATTTGGTGTGTAGCGACACCACGGACCCGAGCTAACGGGGGAGTTTCTACTCCCTCCCACGCCTAGCCGTGCGTGGCTTTGCCGTGTCCGGGGAAAAGGGGATCCTGGTGGTTGAGCTGACGCTGGGTGATTGGACCTTTAAGGCCCCCCGGCAGAGGCAACACACCCCTTTGGCCCTGGCTTCACGTAGATGGCACCCCCGGATTGACCCGCCCGGGGGTAATCGGCAGTCGCCTTTTCCTGTCTCCCCCTCACATCTTCGTCTTTTCTCTTACTTTAAATCTTTCCTGTCCTCTACTCTCTTCCGTTGACTTCCATGTTTCCTGGCGGCAAGGGTTAACCCTGTGTGGCTATCTTACCTTGGATACACCATATTCGGTTATAGTGGTGGTGTACAGCTGGCGTCTGCAGGGCCTGTGCTTACAGACCCTGCAGCGTCCCCTTGTAGGACTCCATGGTGGGTGGCTGGCGCCGCTGCCGAAAATAAACCTTTTCTTATGGCTAGTTCCTTCCCCCCACTCCCTGATTGCCCTCAGAAATGAGGGCGCACCGATGAAGTATTCCAGTTTTTTGGTCACCAGAGAGTATCCTTTCCCAGATTCCACGTTATCCACGCTGACACACCCGGCAAACCAGTGAGAACAATTTCACCTTTTCTTGTTTCGAAGTCTTTGACAGAAATCTTTGGCCCAGGATATAAAGCATCGAGAATTGCAAGGGGTGACCTCCTGTTGGAGCTCCGCGACCAGAAAGAGTATGAAAAATTGTCTAATCTAGTGAAATTTGGAGATACCAAATTAATAGTAACCCCACACCGAACCATGAACACCACCCGTGGCGTTGTTTCAGATGATGACCTGTTAGGGCTTATGGAGGCTGAACTCCTGGAGGGTTTTAGCGAACAGAATGTCATCAACGTGAAACGAATTAGGATGAGGCGTGATGGCAAGGAAATCCAGACTAAGCACCTGATACTCACCTTCAATTCAAGTGTACTGCCCGACTCCATTGAGGCTGGGTATATCAGGCTTCAAGTGAAGCCATATATACCAAACCCTCTCCGATGTTTCAAATGCCAGCGGTTCGGCCACAGTTCACAGAACTGCCGAGGCCGCCTAACTTGCGCGAAATGCAGTGCTGAAGAACACACATCAGATGCCTGTGAAAACTCTCTTCACTGTGCGAACTGTAATGGGGAGCATGCCGCGTACTCGCGGTCATGCCCATGCTGGAAAAAAGAAAAGGAAATTGTGACAATTAAAGTAAAACAAAACATTTCATTTAGGGAGGCACGAAGGCAGGTGTCCTGCCTACCAGAAACCAGCTTTGCCGAAGTGGCGCGTCAGGGGGCAGTGCCACGATGGCCCCCGGCGCCTGTCTGGCACACGCGTAGTGAGCCAGCGGTGACGCCATCCGCCCCCTCGGCGGTTGCAGCCAGTGCTGCTCCGCCATTCAAGAAAGACCCACCAACCTCCGGGCTGGGGGCCGCAAAGGTCTCGTTTTTTGAGGCGAGGCCCTCAAAACAAATGCAGCGCTCGCAAGAGCTCGTGTCCAGCGCCTCGCAAGAGGCAATGGACACAACACCGAGCGTGAGGGCGCAGCCAGCGCCTAAGGATCGGCGGGACTCCGTCGACCGATCCAAAAAAGAAAAATCTCGTGTCATGACCCCTGGAAAGGGTCCGTGAGCTAACTTTCCATCCTTGAGCACACAGCACAAAACACATCTAAAATGGATACACAGATCTTATAGTGGAATGTGAGAGGACTTCTCCATAACCTCGATGATATTAGAGAACTTCTTAATAAACATACTCCAAAGGTGCTGTGTGTTCAGGAAACACATCTCAAGTCCACACAAACTTTCTAAAGCATTATGCCATCTTCGCAAAGACCGTGACGACGCTGCCACTTCGTCGGGTGGTGTCGCTATAATAGTTGATAAAGGTGTTGCCTGTAAGCAATTAAACCTCCGAACTTCTCTTGAGGAAGTTGCTGTCCGAGCAGTGCTGTTCGGGAAGCTACTAACAATTACCTCCATTTACATTCCCCCGTGCTATCAACTTTCAAAGACACAATTTCAAAGCTTCATTGATGAGCTTCCTCCGCCATATATAGTCGTTGGTGATCTAAATGCACATAATCCCCTATGGGGCGACTCCCGTTTAGATGCGCGAGGACGCCTAATAGAACACTTTCTGTTTTCGTCAGGTGCATGCCTACTAAACAAAAGAGAACCAACGTATTATAGCACTACACACAACACATACTCTTCTATAGACCTGAGTATTGTCTTGAGTGCTATAATTCCATATCTGGAGTGGTTCGTTCTCAAGAACCCTTTTGGGAGTGACCACTTCCCGATTATGTTAAAGTTGACAAAAGAAGATACATGCTCGCCTGACTTTCCTCGCTGGAACACCAAGTCAGCCAACTGGGAACTGTTTCGAGAAATTGCATTTTTAGACGGAGATGAGATTGCTGATTTTAATATAGCTGGTGCTGTAGCATACCTAACAGGTTTTATTATTGACGCTGCAGTGAAATGTATCAAGCAAACCAACGGAATGACCAATACAAAACGTCTCATCCCATGGTGGAACGACGATTGTCGGAAAGTGCGCAATAGACAAAATAAAGCTTGGAGACTACTCCGAAATTACCCAACGACTGAAAACCTCAACGATTTCAAACAGGTTAAGTCCCAAGCCAGAAGAACGCGTCGTCTTGCAAAGAAAGAAAGTTGGAATATGTACATCTTCGGTATAAATTCTTACACTGACGAAAGGAAGGTTTGGAATAGGGTAAACAAGTTAATGGGTCGGGAGTCACACCCCCTACCTTTGGTAAGTAGCCGAGGGGAGAACCTGGAGGAGCAGGCGGACTGCCTAGGCGAACACTTTGAATATGTCTCAAGTGCATCGCACTACACAGAAACGTTCTTAAGATTCAAAGAACGCGAAGAGCGGCAACCCCTTAAATCTAAACGTCCAACCAGGGAGGCTTACAACTGCCCATTTTCATTAGCTGAAGTTAAGGCATCTCTTGCGTACTGCAACAACTCGGCGTCAGTTGGCGATCGTGTAACATACGAAATGATCAAGTATCTTCACCTAGAAGCACTAAAAACGCTCCTAACCCTCTTCAGTACCATGTGGGAAGCTGGATATATTCCATTGTCATGGAAAGAAGCGATAGTCATCCCGGTACTTAAACAAGGCAAAGACCCATCCTTGGCCGCCAGCTACAGGCCAATAGCGTTAACAAGCTGTTTATGCAAACTATATGAGAAAATGTTAAACCGGCGCTTAACCCACTTCTTAGAAAGTAAGAGTATACTAGACCCCCTTCAGTGTGGTTTCAGAGAGGGGAGGTCGACAATAGACCACCTTGTTCGCATAGAGACATACATCAGAGATGTATTTATTCATAGGCAGTT